CTGATAAGATACTATAAGGAGCCTTAGAAGGATAGGGACACCTTCACAACGTCGAACGGGACGTCGGTTCCAAGAGGCAAGATAGTGTGCAGGATGGGACCATTATTGGTGGGTGGCAGGAATTGATAACAGCTGATAAGATACTATAAGGAGCCTTAGAAGGATAGGGACACCTAACTCACAACGTCGACCAGCACAACGGGACGTCGGTTCCAAGAGGCAAGATAGTGTGCAGGATGGGACCATTATTGGTTTGTGGCAGGATATGATAAGAGCTGATAAGATACCCCGAAAATTCACAGCAGAGTTGTTGCAACACTGTGGAACTGCTCCAGCAAGTAATTCAGGGGTGCTCAGGGAAGTTAAAGGTGGGAGATAAATTCTGTCAGTGTCCGACAACGGCTTTTGGGACTCCGTATATGCTCACATCATCGTGGCCAAATTTCTATTCCTAGCAATATCCCTCAGTTTAGCGGTCGGAATTGCTTCCACCGCTAAACGCTCGAGTTTCACCGGAAAGGGAATTGTTGGCCAGTGAGGAATGATAAGAGCCACTATGATTTCGACTTTTTTATCATCGAAATTCTTCCCACCGCTATGCTGTCCTATCTCCAACGAATGGTGCTTTTATGATAGGCACCAAACACTGGCAAATGTTCATTAAAATGGAGAAACATGATGAAATGGACCGTCCGAAACATGGGAATTAGGCTAAGTGCTCAGGACAGAAATCCTGTCAGTTATCATAGTACCATGGGTTTAACCATGCGCGCAGTAGTGCGCGTCAGCCAGACTGGTTTAATAATATAGCACTCATTCAGTAAAACAGCTTAACACATGTGATGCGAACAACTCTGAAAAAGACTATTTCACCCATCCCAATAGCGCTCTTGGATCGCGCGATCCTACTCGAGCGATCCGATCGTGCGATACAATCGCACGATCGCGAAGTCTGAACGCGCTCTTAGCCTAAGCAGAGCGCAGATGATCGTAGTCTCCCCCATTAGCGCCGGCGCCAAGAATTAATGTCATATTCGTAATCAGAATGTCAACATAACCCTCGTATAAAATTTTCGTCGATTTCGGTGATCAAGGTGGCGCCGTCAGCTGCGGCGAGGACACCAGGCGGTTTCGAGCCAATCGGATGGGATATTCATGCTCAGGAAGTCAAACTACCCCGCGGTGATAAAGGGTTTTTGGCGCGGCACCCGTGGCGGTGGCGCCGGACAGTTTCAGGCCAAGCCGATGTGATATTCTGTTTAGGAGGTCGAACTATCCTTAGAAACTAACTTCCGGCCAAATTTGCAGAAAAAGTAAAACTCGCCTGATTTCGAAAGACTGGGATAATATTAGTGCAATAGTGCCGAAAAACCTTACCGGAAATTTCGGTCCTTATCTATATGCCCCGAGTATGGGATAAAGATGCGAAGAAAGGGTATTACGACACTTTAAAGTCGAATATGGCAAAGAAGTATGCGTGAAACACATGAAAGAGAGGAGATATGAGTCAACATCAAACACACGTGTTTTATGCTCACGATAGGCCACCTCATCTGCTATTGCGCCAGTGCAAGCGCCAGCGCAAGGCAAAATATGACCCTACGAATCGTCCGCATGCATTCTCTAGCCGCCTACTCTGCGCAAGTTTTTGAACTGGGCAGGCTTTTCTCCCTAGTATCTGCTTACCGATTTTTTTCTTTGAACGTCGAATGGTCCCCATTGCTGGCAGTTACAGATCCCTGCAAACGATAAGACGTGTGATGCAGCGCATATTGAAGCGTGGCCAAGGCGCCTTTTTTCCAGGGCCATGTTCTTGGCCAGTTCAGGTGGCGAGAAATCTGACCATAAATATTGATGCATTGCCATGCCATGCCCCCATCAGATCGCCTATCGTTTGCAAATTGAGCGACTAGTATGAACTTGCGACTGAGCCCGTGATGAGACTGATCTTCATATGCTACGGAAGGAATGAGCCCGGAGATTAGGTCACATCCGTCACAGTTACGCCACAGCGGTTTTTTTTTGCTTAAGTCTGAGCCACAACCTTCATCTTACATTGACAACAGAAGAAAAATGTAGCACTGTTTACTCTTAACTGCCCCAGTCATCCGAAACCAGGCCAGTTTTTAACCGACTTTTTTTTCTCCGAGGGCAGATTTGGTTAAAAAGTTGTGTTCTGGGGTAGTCTGACTTCCTGAACACGAATATCAGTCATGTTGAAGTTAAATTGAATGGTGATCAGCGTCGGTGTGAAATCACAAAAGTGACTGAAAACTTGTCCCCAGGAGTAGTTTGACCCACTGAACACAAATATCTCGTTTCGTATGACGCCAATCCTGCTCAAATACCTACCTACCGACCACAGTCCGCCGACAAGCGACTTTTTACTTCTTCGCCGCGCTTAGCCCAGACTCCGGTCAGTTTCGTGATGGTGTGCTCGAACGTAAGGGAGGCTAGAGGAAACGCAGCACCCTTTGTGTGGATCTGTGATAATGTTCCTTCCCTTTGCTAAAGCTCATCGTCAGTCTCAGCAGAGGGTAGGACCACTACCTCGGGGAAGGGTGCAGACGAGCAGAAGCAGGTTGTGCTACCAAGTGTATCCCTTTACTCCATCTTTGAACCTTTAAAACCTCATACCGATGTGATTTTCGTGTTCTGTGGGTGAAACTACCCAGAAGGACAAGTTTTCAGCAAATTTTTGGTTTGGGGTATTTTGGCACTGACGCCTATGGAGTGGGGATTAAGAGGTTTTAGGCCAAGCGGGTGTAAAGTCGTGTTCAGAACATCAAACTTCCACTGCGAACGAGTTTTCCTTGAAGTTGGTGATTTCAGGTTTTCGCGCCAGCGGCAGGAGGTTTCCGCCAAGTAGATGTGGCAGTCGTGTCCCGGGCGTCAATCCACCCCAGCAGTCAACTTTTTACAAGTCAATCCACCCCAGCAGTCAACTTTTTACAAGTTTGCCTCCGGAGAAAAAAGCCTGTCAGAAAACTGGCCTGACTTCGGAAGAAGGGTCAAAAAAGCGTAAATAGCGCCGAAAAAATTTGTTGTGATGCTATGTGATTGCACCAGAGTAAGAAGAGTAAAGGGTAAGTAGTGCCAAAAACGTTTTCTGTGGACCTGAGCGACTGCATCAACTGGTCCAATATAGTAGTTGCACCTCATCTGATTGGAAAAGCAAATTATAGCGGTATGAGCACATCTCAGCTGTCACAGCTGAGATTGTACTCCAACGTAGACAAAGCTATCACAGACAATTGCGAAAACCCGCATGTGCGCACAGGACAAAGGAGTGGCAGGCAGCACGAGATAGACAACCAGAGTACGGTAGGAAAGATGCAGTTGTGGAGAATTCGATTGCACCATCATCTGACTAATCGATATTCCCACAACCCCGATGCCCTGAAATCGCTGCACTTGATGGTCTGCCGAGTTCATGAATCAACAAAGGGAAAAGCAAACTAAGCATCTTTAAGCGCGCCCCTCCCCCACCCCAACGCACGTGAACCCCAGAAATCTCCCACTATTTCAAAGAACTCACTCCCTTTCCAAACGTCGCCATTCTTCACGTGTTAGTCTCTCTGGTGATCGGCGATCACGACATCGAGGAGGGTACCGCTCATCCTCACTAAAATTGCTGGTTATGAACAAATAAGAAGCCGCACAAGAATATCGATGTACCTTTCCATCGCAGCTCTCTCGTACCGCTCTGCCGACGACTCGCGTTCGCGATGGTCGCGCCAGCCATTGCCCTTTCGCTTTGTCTTCCTACACGAACAACTTGGCCACGTTCCAAATCGACAACGATTGCACATTTCGGAACCATCGTCCCGCTCATCATAGCGATAACGTTCCTCTGAATCACGAATGGAATCGCAATAATCGCTCCGTCCGTGGTAACGATCAGCCTCATACTCCTCTCCTCTTCGAGAGTTACGGCGATACCTGAAAAAAGAACTTATGAAAAATTCCTTAAAGGCTAAGTGAATGAAGGAGCAGGTTGCATCGTTATACACCACTAGCTCATTAGAAGCTAGAGCTTAGAGTACCCCAAAAGTTCGTGACTGATTATTTTGTGCTAAATCATCCCATTAAGGTAAAGTTCAGTTGTTGATGGATTTCGAAATCCAGTCATGCGGTCTCTGCGTGCATTTTCACAGCGGAGCGTGCAAACAGGCACACACGCTTGCAGGGGAAAAATAAGCTCACCTTCCCCTTTGCAGGCGCGTGCACCTGGCGTTTTATCTGCTCATTTTCTCACACTAAATAATATAGTGGTTCACCGCCTCTCGCAGCCGATGGTTTCTTATCCGAAATAGAAGGACGGTTAGAGGCAGTTGGCACGATAAATCTATATAGATGTAGGATTTATACGACTGGCTTAACAGAATTCCGTGACCTCGGACAGGCGCTCCGTGGCGCCTTTTCCAAGGAGGGTACCCCTATAACGCCCTATCGAGCAACAACATTCCGTCCCAAACGCCTTCCTCGCCCGCCCGCCCACAAACGGACGACCGTTTCTGACGCTCGTATTCATTCATTTGCTAAGCAAAAGGGATTGGTATGAAGCGGCCGTGATGCTGCATGCATATATGGGTACACATATGCAGCCGTATCTTCGGTAGCGGTGATTGGCAAGATGCGTACGGGAAACTCGTCCGAAATCGATTTTCAAGTCACTGAGAACGGAGGCTTTTTCTTCGCGACCGTTTCACTCCGTTCTTTCGCCATTTCCCCACTACATAGCGCCCTACTAGCATTTTAGGCCGAGTGGGAAACCATCGTGCCAACTGCCTTTAAAAGGAGTGG